TTTGAAAAGCGGAAAAACATCATCTGCTAAATCACAGCGCGGACGAAAGTGTGTCCTGAGTGATCGTGACAGACGATCATTAAGGGCAATTGTGACGAAAAATAAGAAGACCAAAGCTGCAAAAGTTACTGCTGAAATGAATGTTGTGTTACCGAACCCTGCGAGTACCAAAACAATTAGAAGGGAGCTTCATAAACAGGGAATTGCTGGCCGTGCTGCAATTGAGAAGCCACTCATCAGTGATGCTAATGCCCGTAACAGGAAAAGGTGGTGTTTAAGTCATAAAGCCTGGACTATAGAGCAGTGGAAGCGAGTAATATGGTCTGACGAGTCTTCTTTCACATTGTTTCCCACTTCTGGCCGAGTTTACGTCTGGAGAACGCCATCTCAAGCCTATAATACAGACTGCTTGTTGCCAAGAGTGAAACATGGCGGGGGTTCTGTTATGGTTGGGCAGCCATATCGAGGTTCTCTGTTAGCCCCATGATAACTGTGTCAGGGCACATGACTGCCAAGACTTACATGAACATTTTGGCCGATCAAGTTCATTCCATGGTACAAACTTTGTTCCCCGATGGTGATGGTGTCTTCCAAGACGACAAAGCCCCTGTTCACACAGCTCCCATTGTCCAGGACTGGTTTTCTGAGCACGAGGATGAGTTGTCCCATCTCCCCTGGCCACCACAGTCACCAGACCTGAATATTATCGAACCTTTGTGGTCTACATTGGAACGGAAAGTGCGTTCTCGTTATCCACCACCAACATCGTTATCTGAACTTGCCACCGTTTTGCAGGAAGAATGGTATAATATTCCCTTGGCAAACATACAGAAAACTGTATTTATCCATTGCGAGAAGACTGCAAGCTGCTTTGGATGCCAACGGGTTTCCTACACCATATTAAGCAAAGAAACATGTTTTTTTAAAGGTGTTTCCATATTTTTGTCCAACCCCTGTAGGTTTCGAGTTATGATGAAACTTGCAGAGGCAAATCTGAAATTGGAAATTATAGCTTGTTTACTATCTCTATTTTTCATTAAACTTCACACGTTTGCAGAAAATTTAATTTCCAGATCGGAAAGACAAATTTTATTTGTATGTATACGTTTAAGTTGTGGAGAAAAAAGTATGTACACAGTACTGAACATGTCGTTTTAAAACTAGGAATAAATAAATAGTCTTTAATATTAAAGGTGTAAAGTCATTAGGTTATTTTGAAGTAGGAGACATCAATAATGTGCAATGCCCTCGTCGAGGCTCATAACCTGGACCTTTCCAGTATGCTCCCAGTTTCACCACGAAGGCATGCAGAAGGGAGGGAGAAAATACCTTATATACTCCTGTTTTGAAGGGCAACTGTAGATTAATGAATCCTATCGGCAAAGTGTGGTGGTGAAGAATCATCTTTCACCACCTTTTAGTTTGGTCGTCACTGTAGTGTTATTAGTTTTTTTTTTTTTTTTTTTTTTTTTTTTTTTTTTTTTTTTTTAAGTAGAACAGGTGAATAATGTTCAGTGCCGTCGCCATGATTCGAACCTGGAACTCTCGAATACGCGCCGAGTATGCTAGAGTTAGACAACAAATTCATGCAAAAAAGAGGGAGAAAATACTTTATAAAGAGGTAATGTAAGTTTAAGATAACATATTGATATAGGGAATGTGCTACAGTGGACCCTTAGTTCTCGAATAAATTTTCTAAAAGCAAACTACATTGGGTGGCGACAATACCTCGAGAACAAATGATACTCCAAAATACAGTTAAGGGGACTCATACACCTTAAACCCCTCATAATTTTCGAATATGTGACTATTGCAAGAATTGGAATATTTTATTTATTTTAAAAGAAATTACTTCCAACTTTTTACAGCTGACTACATAATATAGCTGCTTTGGAAACCAGTAACCATAAAGTTTGTGTTGCCACAAATATTTTTGTAATTTAATTCTCTTTGTGACAAAATATTTCGCCATGTTTCCACCTTGCGCGCATGATATGTTAAAAATGGCTAATGGTAGGTACTTGAAATTTCATGGAATTCTTTAGATAGGCACTATTTTCTAAGTAAACCAAAAATTTGATGAATATTTTGGTATTAAAAAAATTTATGCACGAAAACATTACAGATTTTTTTGATAAAATATATTTTATAAACTCAACTCCAAATAAAATAAAAATTTAACACGACATTCTTAGAATTTTAGGTTCACAGTAGTTTCCAAATGTTATAAAAGCTATATATTAAATATGGAATTAAATTGTGAAACAGAATGTTTTAAACTGTGCGCGCAAGTTGGAAACATGAAGAAAAATGTTGTCACAAAGCGGATTAAATTATAAAAATAACTGTGGCAACACAAACTTTCTGATTACTATTTCAGAAAGCAGCTATATTATGTAATCAGCTGTAAAAAGTTGGTAGTAATTGCTTTTAAAATAAGTAAGTTATCTCAATTCTTGCAACAGTCACCTATTCGAACATCTTATGGATTTTAAGGTGTATGAGTCCCCTTAATGCAGTGGAGGAATGTCTTCAGGAGAATACGAAATTTATGCAAACTGACGTAGGATAAAATGGTTCACAGAATACTATTACATTTGAATTCGTAAGCTATAGCATAACTATTTTTATTGACAGCACCACGTCTCGTTTTAGGAATATTTGAAAACATAAGACAGAAACAACTCGCAGTGTACAAACGTTTACTGGGACAAAAGCTTGGCGATTTTCAAAGTACAGGAGAGCAGTAACATTTTAAACAATAGCATTTTGCACCTTTGGCTTCTTCAAAGCTTTCTACCTACGCCGTCAACTGTCCTTCGTAGAGAGACGGTAAAATTTAATTAAAGTTTTCCTATTTTTTTATATATTTATTACTGTGTCATTATATTGAGTATATATTAAATTTAATGAATTCCCATTGATTTTGCATTACGAACGTAAATATGAAGTACGCTTTTCTAAGCATTTAGATTATTTTAGATCTAGGAACGAGTTAATTCCTGTTTTTTTATTAATTCTTATAGGAAAAATTGTTTCGGTTTAGGTATGTTTAGGAAGACGAACTATTCTTCAGGAATAAAATAAGCCCGTGAACCAAAAATTCACTAATTTAAGCCAACAAGAGTATTTATTGAATACTCTTCTTGGATTAAATTTATTTGTTTGTTAAATTAATAAAACGTAAGCAACATAAAAGATGGATTTACCTTTTCGCTTATTTTAGTGAGTGATGATTTAAAATATAAAAGTTTATCGTCGTCATAAAGAAAATTAACTGATAAATGAAAATGCGACTACAAAAACTGCCATAATTTTGAAGAAAAATCAAGGTTGTGTCAAACTGTTTTGCAATATTTTCTGAATTTTATCGAATTTTTATTTATTTTTCTGAATCGTTTGTTAGTAATTAATTTTGACACAAAAAATATTTAGAAAATAGTCTTCTCTACATATAATAAAAGAAAGAGTCTGTGTGTGTCTTTCGTTCGCGCTGCGCGTAAGCTAATAGATCCACATTTTGAGACATAATGGGCTATAGGAAAGCGAGATTTTACTCTACACACTCCATTTTCACATCGTCATGAAACGTAGGCACTTAGTTATTTTACGAACTTAAAATAAATTTCGTGTTTCAATAAATCGATTAAATACGAATTTATTTAACAAAGGGAGCTTAACACCTTTTCAACGGGATTATTTCTAAAAATGTTTATTTTTAAACATGTACAGATTATTTTTCTTTGATTTTTGGACACGTTAAACTTTCATCCTTGCGACTGCTTTTACAAAAAGAATTTTGGGAAAATGATAATATTTTGTATTTTTTAAAAAAATTTAAATGAAGCTTCCGAGTACACTACTCACATCTCACATCTTTAAAAATGTGATTTTGGCAACAATTTTCCTTTCTCATTGCTGTTGATAGATTTTTGATGAAATCGCATCATTTTGAATAGTTTCATTCTTTTAGAAATATGGGTTTGACAACAAGTTTTCATCGTATTTCTTATGTCATTGTTTTTAAGAGATTGGCATATTTCTACTATTTTTAAGAGATTGTCATTTTTTCATTTTCATACTATTTTTAAGAGATTGCCATTTTTTTATATATAATACATTTTTATTGATTTTTTTGATAAAGTTGTTCTGCAGAGTAAAATTGTGCGCGGAATTTGATGTTTTTTGAGTTGCTTTCATGTTATTCTTTTGCTTATTTCACTATTTGTAAGATATTGAAAAGTTTTGTATGACCTTTTTTTCTTCAACAAAAAGTTGGTTAATTTTTTATTAGGATAATTAATATTTGTATTAAGGGATATAGCTTATTTCATTGTAATTTTGTTATACGTAATAACTTTTTTTTAATGAAGTTCTCCTGCAGAGTAAAATTCTACGCTGCTTTTAAATTTAACGTTTGGTGTTCCCTTCAGCCATTTTTCCGGTACATTTAAAAGTCAGATGAAGGCTGGCAGCAAAGCTGCTAGTTAATAATAAAATTAAATTAACATATTATCTCTTCCTGCAAAATATAAAATTTCAGCACAGTGAAAGATGTCAAAATATTTTTGAATCATTAAATTGTGTGCTGTCTCAGATATAAAATACTGAACAGAAAATATTCGTAATGATACCATTATTATAGTACGTGGACAAAAAACATTCATAATGATATCATTATAATAATACTTGAACAAAATTATTCATAATGATGTCATTATAATAAAACTTGAACAAACAATATTCATAATGATATCATTATAATAATACTTGAACCAAAAGCATTCACAATGATATCATTATAATAATACTTGAACAAAAAATACTCATAATGGTATCATTATAATAATACATGAACAAACAATATTCGTAATGATATCTTTATAATAAAACTTAAACAAAATTATTCATAGCGATACCACTGTAATAATACTCGAATAAAAATACTCATAATGACATTATTATAATAATAATACTTGAACCAAAAAATACAAGAAAGATCAATGTTTCACATGAATTTTATTCAAAAGTCCATTATAAAAATGATGAGAAGGGGTAAGAAATAACAGCATCGCGCAACGAAAACAGCAGCAGTACATCTGGCCGAATGATCAATAACAGGTAATGATGAAGCTGTAAAGAAATAAAAAAAATGTAAGTAAATGTTTAGTTAATTAACTAAAGGTTAAATATTATTAATAATATAGGGTGGCCCAGAAGTCACTTTACATTTTGAAAATTAAATAACTTTTTCTTAAATGACTGTATTTAATTAATTCTTTTTTATTTTTTGCTTATTCACATGTCCATTCAAATGGAAATGAGCTTCATCTCCCATGATCAACTTGTGAATAAACTCATTGTCATTTCTTGCAGTTCTCTGAAACCTGACAGCATAATTTACTCGTTTCTGAAAGTCTGCTGGTTTTAAAGATTGCACTAATTAAACCTAGAAAACGCGTCACTAAGTTTCTTATTTCAGGCCTACTAGAGGGATGTTGAACATTAAAATGGCGCATATATTGCGTTGCAACAATTGACCGTCCATTTTCAAAGTAAAATTCATTTATCTTCACTCGTTGTTCTGTTGTAAACTTATCCATGCCAAAAATTTCCAGGGATTATATTTTTTAATTCTGAAAAGAGAAAAAGAAATATATTAATAGAAAAAAAAAGTTATTTAATTTTCAAAATGTAAAGTGACTTCTGGGCCACCCTATATAAGTAAGCACATTTTCTCCTGTGGATAAAAACAGCTAACAAATAATTATATAAGATCATCTGTTATCAATACCACATGTATTTTTTGTAGTTTCATAGACAGGTTTGGTTTATTCTGATTATTTCTGTAGAAATATTTTAATCGTACCATAATTATCAATCTTTACTTTTTTAAGCACGGCCAGTTATAGAGCAACGCGGTTAAACTGCTTTCGGACAATCGACAAATGACAATAATAAATATTTAAAATACTGTTTCTTGAATGAATTTATATCTTATAAGCTAAGTATATCAAGAAATATAAAATAAAATTTCAGTTTTTAGAATTATTTCTATTAAGTACCTAAAGCTAGTAATAATACTTGTTTAATTTCAAAGTTGTGACTTTCTTTTAATTTTTATTTTCTTTTTTCTTTAGTTTTATTCATTAAAATTTCTTTCTCAGTGTACACGACATTTTCATTGAAACAATAATGACTTCTCTCTATTCTAATCTTTTCATTCATAAAGATATCACAATGAACGAAAAAGAAAATTGTTTTTGCTTTTAATAGGAATTGGTAAGACAGTTACTAAACCTCGGCGTATTACTGAAAGCAATATGAAGTAATGAAAGACGTTTTAAACGAATTATCCCCTCACACATATATTCTTCTTTTGTGATGATGGTGTATATTATATTTATGTATATGTATGTAAATTGTAGAGGCATTAAGTTTTTTAAAAGCGAGAGACATGAAAAATGTGCAATGCCCTCTCCAGAACTCGAATTTGGACCTCTCTAATACGTGTCGAGTGTGCTACCGTTGTACTACGAAGGCGTGCTGGAAGGAAGGAGAAAATACTCTATAATATATATAGATATATTGGGAAAATATATAAATATTTAGAAAACATTTCCTGCACACTACATTTAGAAAACATTTCCTGCACACAACATTTAGAAAACATTTCCTGCACACAACATTTAGAAAACATTTCCTGCACACAATGTTGCTAAGATATATTTGTAGATGCGTATTAAGTCAAACTAAAACTGAACACGCATATGAAAAATAAGTTTAAGAAATATATTAATGTAAATAATTTAAGCAAATTATTTTCAACTGCTACTGCAAATTAGAAATGGTGTTAATCATTCTTGTAAATAATTTTTTTTAAATATTTGATGTATATATATATCCAATATATATATATGTTTGAATGTATTGGTCATTACAAAAGTCATTACGCTTTTAAATGTATATTTTCATACATTATAACTATATCAAACATGCTGTTACACTCCCTCGCCCCTAATGTCATAAACTTATAATGCTTTGTTCTCATCTATAACTTTACATTTTTCTTTTATAATTGGACAGTTGTTGTGTTTTATTTAAAAAAAAAAAAAAAAAAAAAAAAGCCTTATTCTAGTTGATATTTATAAAAGATATTGAAAGAAAATTTTAATGAGATTAATGTGTTTTAGTTTAACTTCTGATTTTAAAAACTCTCATAGGTTTATACGGGGTGTCCAGGAAGTCCCTTTACTCCTAGGTTTGAACATCATAGAGAAAGATGTCAGTGTTATTTGAATCGTGTCGTAATATTAGCTCTTATCGTATTGGTAACACTGCTTCCATGTTGAGACGGTATTACTTTTGACGAATATGTGAAGGGGCATTCTTATTTACACATGTTAAAAACGTAGTTAATACTCAGCTGAAAGAGAAGGGAATTATGGATTGTGTGTAGGTACAGCCAATCAGTGCTCCAGCCCATTTTGCTTTCAGGTGCCTGATTTCCTTAATGAATAGTTTCCAGGCTATAGGTTTGGGTGATTCTCCGACATATCCATCTCATATTGGCATAGCTTCCAGCGAATCCTAGGCCTTTGAAGACCAGGCAACGCATTATGGAAATAATTAAACTGCAGGTCTCTCATCATCGATACAGGACAAATGAAGAACAAATGAAGAAAAAGAGGAGGAAGCCTTCTTAAGGAAACCACTCAGATGCTCTGTTGCTGGTCAAAGCATCTGTGTCGAAGCATCTGAGCTGGTAAAGGCATTTCATATGGAGATGCATGCATCCGTGTGTACACAGATCCATTGGATAGATAGTTGATACACGTACGTACTCAACTATAGTATGAAATAAATAAACAAACTAAAACTACATACATTGTTCTTTCTGTGATACTCAAACCTCGGACTTGTCAAGAACACTGTATAACAGGGCACCTGCATCAACAGGCAATAGTGTTACGAATTTGGTATTTAAAAAGCTAATGTTAGTTCAATTAGAAATTAAATGGTTTTATTTCTCGCGCAGTGCAGCGCGTGACGAATATTAAAAGAAAGCTAAGCCGGAAAATTGAAAATACAAGAGCGCGTGCATTAAATAAATAAATATCTCTTTTTGATTTCGAGAAAGTACTGGAAAATTCTAGCGCGTGATTTTAAAATCTTATAAAAGGAGGAAAACATCTCAGTTTGTAGTAGTTGCTTAGTTTGTTGTTGTTTAGAAAACTACTGTTGTTGATTGTAGCGAATTCGCGGATTAGCGTTCTTTAGCTGTTTTGAATTACGTTCTATTGACATTTGAGTAGTTAAAAGAAAACTACTGTGAGATATTGTAATACTGCATGATAATTTGAGAAAATTTAAGCATTTTTGTTGTGATAATAATAAATTTTTGTTCATTTTTCATCGGACTTGTGCATTCATTTCATAACGAACCCGTATACGCACGCAACAATTTTTGGTGTCAGGAGTGGGATTTTGAATGCCAATAACAAGAGCGATGGAAGAACAAATTGAGGCAGCTCATTAGTGCTTTTGCTGCATTCCAAGAAAAGATGAAAGCTGGCCAAGCATCATTTAAGGAAGAAGTGAAATTGGGCCAGGAATCCGTTACTGGAAGAAATGAAATTGGGCCAGGAATCCGTTAAGGACGAAATGAAAAAGCCGTTCAAAGGAAAGATGGATGGTAGTCAAGAAGAAATGAAAAGAGAAATTACTTGCATAATAGAAAATAAATTTGAAGCTATGGAAGGCAGAATTGACGCAGTTGAAAATAAAGTTGGACATATTGAAGAAAGAGTTTCTTCGGTGAAAGAAGAAAATAGAAGAAAGTTTCTTCTGTAAAAGAACATATTGATGGAGAGAGTTTCTGCAGTTGAACAGCAAACTGATGATAGGGTTTCAGCCGTTGCTAAAGACGTTGATACTTTAAAGAAGATCGTAGCGTCGGCAGGGAGCAGGAGTTCTGATGATTTTAAATTCTTACCAATGCCTGCTCGTCCACGTTCTGAAAGCTATCCACATATGATGGGAAGACCTCCTGGCAGGTGTATAAGACACAATTTTCTATCGTGGCGGATGCGAATGGAATGGGATTCCCAAGCTAAGGCCTGTCATCTCGCCGCTTCTCTAAGAGCCGACGCAGCGGATATCCTTCAGACTCTTCCCGAAAACCAAAGGTTAGATTTCGAAGCTCTGTCCGGCGCCTTGGAGTTGCGCTTTGGGGAGAAGTGTTTAAAAGACTACAGCAGGCTCCAATTAAAATCTCGTCAACAGAAGCCTACCGAAACACTTCAGGAGCTCGCCGCGGATGTTGAAAGGCTGTCCCATCTCGCCTTTTCGGAATGCCCGACAGAAACAAGGGAAATCCTGTCCTTGCAATACTTTATCGACGGCATCCGAGATACTGAAATACAGAAAGCTCTACGAATGGCGGATGTAAAAGATTTAAAAAGTGCTCTAGTGTACGCCATGAAATTTGAGGCAGCCCAGCAAGCCACTCGTCGAGACCGCCACCCAGTCAGAGCTGCTCAAGTCCAGGAGCCAGGGGATCAAGTCACCGCTCGACTTGACGATTTAACTAGACAACTGAACGCCTTGAGACGGAATATTGGTGAGAAGAAACCGACCGTTAAGTGCTGGAACTGCGGTGCTGAAGGACACATACGACGAAACTGCAAACACCCCCAGGGTACTGATGTTAAGACCGCTTCTAACAAGCAGCAGGGAAACTAATTAGTGGCCATCTCGCGGGGCGGAGGTTGCCAGATAATGAAAAGCCCCCGTTTAAAGCGCTTCAGATTTCTGCAGTGAGAGGCGGCAGTAATGGGACTTTTCATAATAGGACATATTAATGGAGTTCCGTGCAATATGACTATAGATACAGGAGCCAACGTCACCATCATCCGAAAAGATTTGGCTCAACAACTAGGAAACAAACTTATCTGGACGCCGCCCTGCGTTACCCTCCAGACTGTGTCCGGTGAGAAGATCGACATCGACGGAAAAGTAAATGTTAACATCACGTTTGGAAGTGTGCCGCTTACCATCACACGGCATATGTAGCAGAGATCACTGATTCTTGCATACTCGGATTGGACTTTCTAAGGAAATACAATTTTTCC